GCAGAGGGAGTCTGGAAATGAGGGAGCTGCAAAGGGATTTGGGAAGATCCCTACACAACCCTGGCTGGCTGGAGGCTGCATCCATGGGCAGGGGAGGCCCGGAGGCCTGGGGGAGAGGAAAAGCTGAGGCAGACTTGAAAACTGCTGGGCCATGAAGTGAGCTCTCTGACCCACGCACAGGTACATCGGCAGAGGGCAGAAGCCTTACTGGCTGAAGGTGTTTGACCACAAGCTCTGACTTATCAGGGGCTGACCTCTGAGATAGGCAGACACACGGTGACCCCTAGAGCATTTTTTGTGGAGAAACAGAGCAAGAAAATCAGCCAATCAAAACTCTCTAAATGACGCCAAAACTTCAAAGCAGCTATTATAAATAGGCTCAAAGAATCAGAAGATACGATGACCATGACTCAACAAATAGGGAATATCGGTAGATAAATAGAAACTATTAAAAGAACCAAATGAAAGTCCTAGAGTTGAAGAGTAAATAACCAAAATGAAAAATTGACTAATGGGCTACACAGTGGTTTGGGATGGCCGAAAAAAGAATCAGTAAACTTAAAGATGGATCAAAAGATATTAACAAGTCTGTAGAACAGGTGTAAAACAATATCGAGTTAAAACAAACAGCCTCGGAGACCGTGGGACATCACGTGTACCAACGTACGAGCAGTGGGAGCTCCAGGAGAGGGGTGGAGAGAGGACGGGACAGAAAAGCATTTGAGGAAATAATCGCCGACAGTGTCCCAAATTTGATGAAAAATATTGCTCTCCAGGTCCAAGAAGCTCAACAAACCCCAAGTAGGATAAACAAACAGATTTTCACCAAGGTACATTGTAGTCACATTGTTGAAAGACAAAGACAACGAGAACATCGTGAAGATTGGTTGTGGGGCCTGAAGAAAACAGACAAAGCAACTGTTTCTGGCTCGAGCAGCTGGGTGGAGTTTGTTATTTATGAGATGGGAAGGCTGGGGAGAAACAACTTGCTCGTCAAGAGTGCTCGTTTGGCCAAGTCAAGTTTGATACTGTTAGATATTCATATGGCAACGTCAAGTTGGCAGTCAGACGAGTCTGGTGTTCAGTGTAAAAGCTTCAAGTTATATCCCCCCATAATGAAATTATCTAGAACAAAAATGTAACTAAAGAAGAGAAGAAGACATAGGTTTAGTGTCTGTCATAACTATTTCCCCCTGTGACTCATCACTGTGATGGTATATATTACTAGTCTTCCTATATTGAATCATACTCACGTTTATCAAATAAATCCTACTTGACTAAGGCCAAGTTTCTTAAATTACTATTGCTTTTAGTGTGCTAAACGTTATTAAGGAATTATTTCAGTGGTCTATTGCAGCATGACAGACCACCCCAAACTTCGTGGCTTAACAACAATTTATTCTTTTTCATGGTTCCGCGTGTTGACTAGACTCTGGACAGTTTTGGCTTAGGGTCTGGGGTGGTGGCTGTTAAATGTTGGCTGGGGCTGCAGTCATTTGCTTTTGACTGCTTGACATCTCAGATGGTTTTCTTGTTTGGAGGGCAGTCGCTGTTGGCTGGGAGGTCCGCTGGGATTGGTGACTGGAGCACCCACGCGTCGCATCTCCACATGGGCGTGGGCTGCTCACACACGGAGGCTGGGCTCAGAGAGCGTGCCAAGGATAAACATTACAAGAAACCCGGTGGGAAGCTGCAAGACTTCTTATGACCAGGCCTTGAAGTTTCTGGAAATCATTTCCGTTGTATTGTATTCATAAACCAGTCCAGAAGCAAAGGGCGGAGAATTATATTCCAACTCTTGATGTACAGAGCTACATGCGCAGCAGGGAGGGTTGTTATTGGAGACAGTCTGTTCTCCGTTCCCCCCAATTTACATTCATCCCCCACAATTTACATTACATATACTCACTTTTCTCCCAAGATCCCCAAAGTCTTACCTCTTTATGACATCGAGCTCCAGATCTCTAACTTGTGATCTAAGTCAGGTCTAGTATGAATGAGGCTTCTTGTGTGTGGTTCCTGAAGTACAAGTCTTCTCTGTCTGAGGACCAGGAAACTAAAGAGACAAGTTTTTGGTCCCTCGTGTACCCAGTATACAATGGAGGAACAGTTGTAGGAACTGTAGTAGCCACTTCTGTTAAAACAGGAGGGGAAAGCAAGTCACTTAGCAATTTCTGGCCCATAGCAATTGTGAAATCCAGACAGACACCTGTTACTGTTTCCTTGATTGGGGCCCAGGCCTAGTCCCTGCAAGTGGTTCTCTGTGGCTCTCGGCTCCACACCCTGAACTGTCCTTCCTTTTTCTTAAGAAATGGCCAGATTTTGCAGTTGAGTAGCTTTCTTAGCTGCTACACACCTGTAGATCATTGGGGAACTAAAGATCTCTTTTCATTTTGAACTATCTCTCCCTTTCAGTCTAATTTCGTACAACTCCCTTAAAAACTATGTGGGCTTCCTGTGTATCTGATTATAAGTGTCATGCAGCCCAGCCGGGCGTGGCTCAGCAGTTGAGCATCGACCTAGGATCCAGGCGATCAGGGTTTGATTCCTGGTCAGGGCACAGGCCCGGGTTGTGGGCTCGATCCCCAGTCGGGGCGTGCAGGAGGCAGCCGATCAATGACTCTCTCATCATTGATGTTTCTGTCTCTCTCTCTCCCCCTCTCCTTTCCTCTCTCTGAAATCAATAAAGATATATTGAAAAAATAATAATAAGGGCCATGCATTAGACAAAAGCTGCACCCACAGATCTCTTGGACAGTCTCCTTTTATTTTGGTCTGAAAGGGCTGTGGGACAACACCCATAATATTCTTACAAACATTCTTGTCTAAGAGTCAGGCCCTTAAGATTCTTAGAAATTCTTTTTTTAATCTAAGAGGTTCTAGAAAGGTGTGCCCTTAAATCTTTCTGAGGTGTCATCAGAGAGTACCCCTGACTTCATATTAACTTTGATTACTTCAAGAATATTTTGCTGACTGGGAAGATGTCCTGAGCCTTTTCTGTTTTTTCTCAATTTAGCTCAAAGACCTGAACACCTTTCTTTTTTAGTTCATCTGTCTCTAGCCATACTTTGTCATAGGCATGTGAAAGAAACCGGTTGGCACTTTATTAGGTATACGTCCTGTTTTCCCTATTAGGACAAGCAACAGTGTTACCCAGTTTCTGCCACTATGTCGCATGGGTTGCCTTCTCGCTAGCCTCCAGTTACAGTTTCCTCACTGCCCTTCAAGTCTTCGCTAACCATGTCCTGCAGGCCTCTCTGCTCCCACCTGCTACTCTGTCCTAAAGCCAGGGCTGTTTCAGGCTTTCATTTTGATAGCACCCTATTTTCACTTATTTCTCTTCTGATTATGTCACTACACCAATAGTGACCTGGAACAGATGGGTACATTGTTTTGCTTATGATTTTGTGGGTCCGGAATTCAGGGAAAGCTCAACCGCACAGATACCTCTTCTTCACCTGGCATCAGCTTCCTCACGCTTATGACTTGACCCTGCTCGGCGCCTCCCTGTCTCGCTCACTCCTTCCCTCCTTCTTCCTTGTCCCATCCTCCAGAGCCTCTACGTGTGGTGGCCTCAGGATAGTCACACTTTCCTGACAACCAGCTTCCAAAAGGCAGGGAGTAGAAACTGCCAGGCTAACTATGGGCTATGCCTGGGAGTAGCAACGTGTTACTGCTGCTATAATCTACTGGTCAGTGCAGGTCGAGGGCCAGCCTGGGTTCAGGGTGGGAAAGGAAATGGACTTCCTCTCGGTGGGCGAGCCGGTCAGGTTGTGGGAGAGCCTATGAACTGGGAGATATTGCTGCAGCCACCTTTGGAAAGTGCAATCGGCCACATGACTTAAAGAAATTATTTTCGGTTTGGTTTGTCAATACCGTGTGAGTATGCGTATGTGCTGTTTCATCAGATGTGCCTGTCAGGAATATGTTAACTTTGGAGAACATTTGCATCAGGAAGCTTTCCTCCCTTTCCTTTGCTCAGGAGTGTTCAAACAGATCAAATTACCGATTTGTCTAACGTTTGAAAGGGCTCTTTCATAAAACCACCTGAATTGCCTTCGTGAAAAGTTTAAGATTTTAACTTAGCAAAACATATTGTTTTTTTCTATTGATTTCTTCTATTTATATGTGTGTGTGTGTGTGTGTGTGTTTAGAAAGTCCTTCCCCCATTGGAGCACATTTGAATATTTGTCCACAGCTTCTATGTGTTTTGGTTTTGTATTGGATATAATTCTCTAATCTGCCTAGAATTGTGCACATGCAGGTCCAGCACCCTTTCCCCACCCAGGTCGTGAACTACTTGGGTGACCCCCCATCCAGCCATCCGTCCGTCCGTCCATCCATCCCGCTAACTGGCCTTGCGGCCTGCCCTTTACGTGGTGTCCTATGTCCTAGGATCTGCTTCTCGGTCTGTGTTCTCCTCTGTTGCCATGTAAATTCTTCCCCCGTACTATGTTCTTAGTTATTGTGACTCGCTTCCAAGCATTTTAAGACTGTGAAAGTCACTGCCTTTTCATGCCTCAATGCAATGGCACAGCTGATGCACACAAAGGATGTGTGCTTGTAGACTGGTGAGGACAAGTTTAAAAAGTCCTATTAAGGGTTTGTTTAATGTACCTGTCAGCCGGATATTTCTGGCTAAATTTTGGTTTCCGGAAAGAAGGAGGAATTAATAGAACAAATACCAGTACTCGCAGTTTTATGCTTTTGTGAGCGTGACTTTCAGGTCCGGAATTGGGTGCACGGAGGCCTTCCAGAAGGAAAAAGTGAACGAAGGCAGCAGGCGAATGCTCTCACCGCTGACCACGGTGCAGGATTCCAGTAAACAAGCGGGAACTAGGAAAGAGTTTCCATCATTTATGGAAGAAAGCCATTGTGGAGCAGACCCAGTAATACTGAGGTTTCCAGCCATGTCACATAGTCTGATAAGTTACTTAAATGTATTCTTTAACAAAATGAACCTTTTATTTTCACTAATCCAGCTTATTTTTGTTTTCCAGATATTGTTTTGTGTTTGCTTTGGGATACCTCATAGTGTGCCAAATTACTAGAGTCTATATCTTTGATTATGGACAATATTCTGCTGATTTTTCAGGGTAAGATGAAAACTTTGATTTAGTAGCCTGTTGTGTTTTTTTTTTCTTTTTCTTTTTCTTTTCTTTCTATTCTAACATGTTGGTTAAAGGACAAAATACAGTTGCATTTAGTAGTTCAAATAAAAAGCTGTTACTAAACATTGTGGTTGAAAAGCCCTTTATGAATTTAGAAATTTTCTTCTTGTAAAGTTGTCTTTTATAGAGTTATATAATCATAAGATAACCTGTCCTTTTATGTTGACTTAAAATATTTTAAATACGTAGCAGTTAAACTTGTCCTGTGGCATCCTGACGTTAAGAGCGTTTCCCGGTCCTGGTCGAAGTTCCTGTGGCCGCACAGCCTGCAGACCCGCCCCCTCGAGCCTGGTCCCCGCTCCCCTTTCTCGCCCTCCGTCTCCGAGTGCCTTTCGCACGGCCACGCACAGCTTCTGCGGCAGCTCTGAGCACCTGTTCTTGCCTCTTAGCACCCACGGGCTTTGCTTGGGGCAGAGGTCCTGGGGTGAGCTGCAGCTGTCTGAATCTCCTGGAGAACGCCCTTGAGCGTGGATATTGCTTCTTGGCATCTCACGTTCATGAAATGTTCTGCTTGCTTCTATCCCGTATCCAGCCGAGCGGTGGAAATATACTCTGGCTTGTGTTCCCTCAAAGGGGCTTCGGTCCCTCTGTGGCTCTCTCTGCCTGTAGCAGAACGGACCGAGTGCCCGTTAGGAGATAAGCGCGGGCCGAGTCCCTAAGAACTAACTTGCTCACGGTCTTTATAAGGGGCACCGGCCAACGACTCGCCACACGGTGGGGGAGTTGAAGACCAACCCCTGTGTTCTCTCTGCCCAGCCCGGCCGCTCTCTCTAGAAGGAGATACAGGAGACCTGCTTTTAAGTCAGTCCTGAGTCATCTGAACGGGGTAGACAGTGACCAGAATATCCAATTTAAGGACAACTAATGTGGAAAAAAATGAGACAAATCAAATCATGGGATCTATGAAAATAATTGTTTGACAGTAGAAATGGACCAAAGATGTGGAGCTTGGAGAGAAACCACTGCTGCGAAACAAGGGAATCGTAGGAGATGAAGTTCCCTTTTTCCTTAATGAGATTAAAATGGATTTTACTTTTATTAAACAGTTTAAAAATAAACCTGCATTCAAAAGAACAAAGCCAAGCCAAAGCAGAACTGATTAAATACAGTAAGAAAACGAGACAGTCCAATTAGCAGTATGTTGAGTGGGATTGAAATACACCTGGAGTCTGGAAACGGAGGCCAGACGCTGGTGAGCGAGCTCCCAGATGACGGGTCTCGTGGAGAAAGTGGGCCTGTGCACAGGACCCATAAGTACCTTGGGCCACCGTGAACTTGAAGAAGAGACCCAGGTCACATGTCATCGTACTGAAATGAAAGGAGGAACTAGTTGTGTATGTTCAGAAGAATCCGAATCATGTAGAAAATTCCATTTTCCTGAGAACAGTGGCCGAACTGGTCTTGCTCAGAGTGGCATTACGCAGACACTTTCTGAATCAGTACTAACACTTCAGTAAAGAAGAAAGTAGAAGCTACGGTGAGAAAACTGGGGGAAAACTGAGCAATGCGGGCAAAGCTGTACCACCCCAGGGGTAAATTCACTGCTTTGAATACTTGCATTTTGATAAATAAGAACTGAATTAAGCATTTGATATAAAATAGAAACAAAAGGGATGTTCTCCACTAATGCAGCGTATGCATGTTGATAATAGAAATTAACAATGTTGTGAAATTACGACTTTCCAAATTGACGTCGGAGTCCTAGGACTGCAGGCAAGCGAACCCCGGGGGCGCCAAGCGGCCCAGGGTCCAGCTGCCCATCTTTCCTTTAAGTCGGCAATAATCAGCGAGAAAATATAATAGGAAAAGGGTCCTAGTTCCCGCAGCCATAAAGACTGAAATACCTAGAAATATATGTGGAAAGGAAGGCTCGGGGCCTCTGTGCAGAAAACTATAAAACTACTATAGGACACAGGAGAGGGCTCACTGGGGAAATGTTAGCGAATCACTGTCCTAAGGACGGCGGTCGGCGATGCCTCTCAGGTCCACCCGTCGGTGTGATGCAGGCCAGGCTGGGGCTCGGAGGGAGAGGAGGCCCCCCGAGCGCTTGAGGGTAGCAGGGTCAGCGCAGGACCCAGAGTCGGTAAAGCAGCAGCCGTGTAGACACGTGGGACCGACAGACAGGCCCCGGAGGCCAGGGCCAGCAGTAAACGGACAGAGCAGAAACGGCGGGACGGGGGGTCCGTGGGGAGCCCCCTCTGGATTATTCAGTACATAGTATTGAGACAGAAGATGAAGGGCAGATGCTTGCCTCCTCCGTGGATAAGTAATGTGCAGGTGGAAGCGAGAACAACACATTTCTCGGCATGAAGACAGGTAATGAGTTCTGACTGGAGACCGCTGATGTTTGTAATGCCACAGGGGCGGCTTAATGGATCCACCAAAAAGGTACATGTGATGTAATTTTCCATTCAGATCAAGAACACAGGGTTTCCCAGAATAATGTATTCACAGTACCATTATTAATTCCAGTGGGTTAAATCTGAAGGGAAAGAATCATCAGTTGAGCCATCAGCTGTTAAAGAGGGTGTACATTTTGGGGGATGCCCTGTGTATTTCAGGCTGAGCAGATAGCCTCCGGCGCTCAGTAACTTGGGTTCCTGGTGACTCCCGTGGGTCCAGTCGGCTGAGATCCACTGGGCATTCTCTGTGCCGTGGCCCGGTGCCAAGCGATTTCATAGGTGACCGTGTTGCCCGGCATAGAGGGACAGGGCATTTGGCCTACAGGTGCGATGGCCACGTTCCCTCCTCTTAGAAGCCTTGTTAAGCCGGGAGTCTGGGTTTAGGCAACTCTGGGCCCTGTGACGGGAACCCTAGGAGCCCCTCGCTGCTGTACCATCCTCTCCCCCCGGGCCCAGCAGCTCTGCTGCAAGTAGGCTTGATGTAAATTATTAAGCCGCTGAGCCCTAGTGTCCCATTTATCCTGTGCCAGCCTGTGGGAGTCTCCTGACACCTTGACCTACCTTTGGTACGAGGGAACATTCTGGTTACTGCTGTCAAAGTAGTTCAGGCTGCCAGGAGCAAACGGGCGTGGTTACCGGTCGCTTCCCACCCACCCGAGCCCTCTCCCTCTCCCTGACCTCGCGCCCAGTCGCAGAGCCGTGGGCTGTAATGACTTTTATCAGAGACCTGCACCGATTCTTAAGGCTCTAGAAAGGGGACAGCTGTCCCTCAGAGCCCTCAGCGGAGCGCGCCCCACCCGGCCCCCCGCCTGCCTCCCCCTTCCCTCTTCAGCCGCCCGAGGCTCAGGGGACAGAACTGCGCTCACCCCTGGGACTTTCGCCCTTTGCCCGCCCTGGCCGCTCCTCCTGGCCGCCCCGCCCGGCTGTGTCTGCATTTCCGAGCCTCGCGGGCCTTACAGGCCCAGGTGAAATGACCACTGTTTGAGGTGTCCCGCCTCTTCCTCTCTGCACGTTTCTTCAGATCACTCCTTTGGCTTGTCACACCCTTAATTACTCACCTTCCCCTTTATCTCCTGTTTAGAGGGAAAGCCTCTCAGCACCCCTCACGCTGCTCTTTTATTTGACCCACGCAGTGGCATTATTGCCCCATTTTGTAGATAACTTGGGAGGGGACGTTGGACAGCTTCCCGGTCTTGCCCAGTTGATAAGCAGTGAGGTCAGGATCTAAGCTGAGCTTTCTGACGAGCCTTCAGCTGCCCTTTCTCCCATCTCCGCCCGCTGTGTAATAGGCGGGCCTTTTAACCACCCCAACCCTGGATGCCTGGTCCTTTCCCTGCTCCCGCCGCTTTCCTCTCGGTCAGCTCCGGTCAGGTGCTCTGGTCAGAAACCTGGGCGGCATCTCCTCTCAAACCCTGCAGTGAGTCCTGTCAAATCACCATCGACTCCTGTTGGCTTGACCTTCAGAAGGTAGCTGGACTGCACTTGCCACCCCCGGCGCTGTCCCCAGGCCCTCCTGCCTGCACCTCCCCACCCCTGGCTCCACATTTCTCTGCCCGAAACCCACGAGAAACATCAACGTGAGCGAGAAACATGGATTGGTTGCCTTCTGTACGTGCCCCAACCGGGGATTGAACACACTACCCGGGCATGTGCCCTGACCGGGAATCGAACCGGCAACCTTTTGGTGCCCTGGACGACCCCCAGCCAGCCCCGGCTGGGCCCAAGTATTTATTCTGAACAGTTAGAGCCCTAGTTTCCACTTTCCTAGTGCAGTGCCCATGGGAGAAACACCTTGCTTCCGCTGAAATACAGCGGCGCCGTCACCTGGAAGGCGCGGGGCTCCCCCCGCAGCCCTGACCTCGCTCGGAGGAGGTTCTGGAGCCGCCTGCCTCCTCTCCCTCCACCCTCTGCAGCCTGCACCCTAGGGAAGCGGGGGGTCTTCCTGAGTCACATAAACTCATCTCAGACTTTCTGGGACGCGGTGGACTGTTGGAGGCAAAGTCAGCAGGAGTTAAAACGTCAGTAAAGGTGTGAGCGAGGTGTTGGGCGGTTGCTCTGACTGTTGCCGGAGCAGGAAAAGTCACCGCAGTTAACCTTATGCTGGGGCCGTTCTCACTTAGAAGGGTGTTCTCTGCGCACCGGGTTCTGCTGCACCGGGCGGAGATGTGTCCTGACCCCCCCATCGCTGCCCCGTCCCCTGGTGACGCCCACGCCTGCGCTGGCTCATCTGTCCCCCTCTGCTTTCCTTTTCGGGGCTGTCATTCATCTGCTCGCCCCTTGCTGAACTGCAGTGCTGCTTTACTTGTGTCCATAGCTTACTCCTCCGCGTCCCTCCCTAGCTGCCCCGGCCACACCCTGTGACAGTTAGGACCAGAGGCAGTGGAACTGGGCTAATTCAAAACCAAAGGGAGCCCGGCCAGCGCGGCTCAGCGGTAGAGCATCGACCTAGGATCCAGGAGGTCGAGGTTCGATTCCCAGTCAGCACACAGGCCCGGGTTGTGGCTCGATCCCCAGCAGGGGGCACTCAGGAGGCAGCCATCAATGACTCATCATTGATGTTTCTCTCCCTCTCCCTCTCCCTTCCTCTCTCTGAAATCAATAAAGATACATTTAAAACAAAAAACAAAATAAAACAAAGGGCGTGTTCAGGGCTAACGGTCACCAGTAAAGGAAACGGAAAGATGGTGAGACGTTTCTGCAAAGCAGTCAGCGCCTTGAGCCCGTGTGTACGCCGGGCCCTGGAGCGCAGAGCTAAGCACGGCCCGGCTCCCGCTGTTAACTAGCCCGTGCCTTCTGCGGGCTCCGAGAAGCAGACGCGTGATTACGGAGCAGTGTGGTGGGTGCGTTCACACAGAGCAGAGAACACACGGGCAGGAGGAATAATAGATTTTAAAAAATATATATATCTTTTATTGATTTCAGGGAGAGGGAGAGAGAGAGAAACATCAGTGATGAGAGTCATTGATCGGCTGCCTCCTGCACGCCCCTGACGGGATCGAGCCCGCAACCCGGGCCTGTGCCCTGACCGGGAATCGAACCAGTGACCTCATGGTTCCTGGGATGACGCTTAACCACTGAGCCACACTGGCCGGGCTCATTATGTTTTAAGGAGACGTGGGAATTAGAATTCAGAACCGAGGGGTATTTTGTAATTCATCGGTGAACTGAACTGTGAACGGAATTAGGCAGAGTGAGAAAACGAGTCTCCCCCCAGGGAAATGGATCCTGCAGGACAGTGTGTAACCCTCAGAGGCTCGTAGCATCCCTGGCACAGCTCACCCGCAGCGGGCACCTGGGCTGGGGGGGAGTAACT